GCCCGCCGCCGCCGGCACAAAGGGCGATGATTTGCTGCAGAGCGCCTCTGCCGCTGCTGCTGCTGCCGCCGTCGGGTCGAGCCGGGCCCTCCGCCGCCGGCTCTGGCTGCTGTGCCGGCTAATTGGTGGTGCAATTAAATGGAGCGGCACCTGCAGCTGCGGCAGCTGGGCTCCGCAGCTGCGGAACATCAATCGGGACGACTTCGCTCGGCTCGTGTTCGGCTCCATACGCTCCCTTCGGGTCGCCGTCGTCGGTGAGGGCAACGCCGCCACCTGGGCGTCGACGGCATCCGCGTCCGCGCGCCGCCGTGATCCTCTCGTCCTGATCCTGCCCTGTCGTGATCCCATATCTCCGCGCGGGCCTCCACCAGGGAGCCATAGGGCGCCGCAGGGGTCCTGTTAATGAGCGTAGTCCTGGAATCGCTGGAATCCCCGTGGCCTTGTGGCCCCGCGCAGCGCCCGCCCGTGGGACCCCGGCGTGCAGATACGGGACCGGTCAGCCCCCCCCCCTCCCTTCCCTCCGGGCAGACGCAACGGGACTCTCTGTGAGTGGGGCAGTGGCTCAGCCAGCGGGTACCATCGGCAGCTATGCAAAGTACTCGCCCGCCGCGTGTGGCCGCAGGGAGACGCTATAAGAGCAGGCGCCAAAACGAAAGGGGGCCGAAGGCAAAGGGGACGGATCTACGTGCTCTAGTTATTTCTTAATCCGATACCACTTGACGACTACGAAACCGAAGGGCAAATGACAAGCACCTCCTTCAACGAGCATGGAGGGGTTAAATTTCACCCTCGGCGACCCTTAAATAAGACCCGACCCTGCCGTGAGGAAAGGTCCGTGCGCAACTGAAAGCTTTTAAAGAAACAAAAAAAACCAAAAACAATCCTCACCCCCACCCGTTGCGTCTGTCATTTGTATGTACATGCGTGCTTGCCGGAGGAGGGAGGGATTGTGTGGATTTTTCCCAGCATAAGGCAGTTGGTACGGTATGGAGGTCACTACCTACCTGTCTTTGGGTCTAGAGGCCCAACTGTTTGTCTGTCCGAGCGTGTCTGTCTGTCTGTCGGTCTGCTCATGCTCCCGCCCGATCTTCCACACAACCGGCCCGAGTCCGACCCTTGTGCGATAACGGACACCTGTGAAGTGGTACGGTCATAATGCGTACTGAATAGCGTGACGTCAGCGACCCACTCAGCTTCTGCTGCACAGCAGGAGCTCGAACTGAAGTTGTTTGGGGACGGACGTTTCAGTTATGTCGTTGTAACTGCGCTCGGGGCGCCTATGGGTATAGGCAGCCGCGCGGGCAGCGGTGCAGGCGTGTGCTGCGTGAGTGCCTACCGGCTGCTGGTAAGGCGCTCGAGACGCCTGTGGATAGGCAGCCG